TCAGAAGCTATTCTTGCTGGACTGTGGATTGAAACACTAGAAACAAAAATCAGGCCTCACTACAGGGCAATGAGAGCAGGGAACTCACTTAGGTGAGGTTTGTCGTGAGTTTTTAGCACACAAATATATATATGTGTGTGTGTATATACAATTAAAATCTGACTACCAGAAGGAAACTGCAGCCATTTGCAGGAGGACTAGCTTCCTGCAAGAGCAGATGTCAACCTAATGGGAGTCAGCATTTAATTTCAGGCAGGTACAGGCCAGCCGCAGCTGTGCAGAGCAGGTCAAGCTGCTCATCACACTTTTTCTTGGGCAGGAAAGCTTGAGCTGGCAAGTAGGCATCTGCATTCAGCACAGCTCTCCTGCTTCTTCGTTTAGTTGACTTGCACCAGGCTCCTCTTCCCTCATTGACCCAGCTCCTTTCCTGTGCCTAACACACTGCACCCGCTCCTGTTCAGTTTAATATCAGGTGGATATTAAGGTTTTTACTCAGCTGTCTCAGCAAGAATTTAGGCTGCCTTGGATCACCTCTGTACTCCAGAATGGCTCTTCCTAAGCACCTGACTCCTTATTCCTACCTCAGAAGCTCACTCAGGTGTTGTGCAGGGGAGTACAGAGAAGGCACAGGCAGGCACTCACAGAGGCAAGGGTCTTACTGCTCTTTTTAAGCTTCTGCTGAAACTATGCCCAGCAAGCTCACTGCGCTGAAAAGAGGCACTCGCCCTTTTCCTCTTCAGTGCTGTCTCAGTTGCACCCAGCAGTTCTCAAGAAGACGAGGCTAGGCCTGAGCTTGTGACTAATTGTTATTAATGATGAAGTAACCGCACTCTGCAGCCTGGGGCAAGGGAGCAGCCTCAAACCCTGGCAGCTCTTCAGTTCAGCTCCACTCCACCCGGAGCTGGAGCTCCGCTTCTCTGCAGCAAACAGAGGCTACAGCGAGTTAAAAGCTGCTTGGCTGTAATCTGGAGTCACTGCCTTCTCCTGCCTGCCCCGTGCCTTCTTACTTCTTGCCCAGAGAACTGGTGTGTTTGAAGAAAAGGGTGAGAATCACCTGTGTTTTCTGTCCTCCGAAGAAATGCTTCTGAGGCAATGTATTTACTTAGATGTCCAAGAACTGAAATACAATGAAAATATATATTCACCCATGGGTGAAGCAGTGTTGTGCTGGGACTAGGAAACGTGGGATTTTCAACAGCTTGCTCTGTGCCTCAGTTTCCATAGGTAAAAAAAAAATTATAAGAAAGCCTTAGTGGATCTCTCAGGCTCTTTAGATAACAAACACCATGTAAAATGCTAAACATGCATCATGCAAAGGGCCATCTTTAACATCTGAAAAATTATTCCCTTGCTTCTTCCCAGAGAGAAGTGTTCTGGCACACAACTGCAATCCCAGAACAGCAGCTACATGCCTCCCAGCCAACCTGTGCATCCTTGTTTTCTCTAAGGTGCCAGTTTTGGGTTTGTTTTTTTTTTCCCCCTTTCTGCATCTCATTCTACATCTAGGGTTTTGCAGACCCAGAAAGGCCCTGCAGAATGGGCAGCCACACTTGTGCCTTCAATTTCATCCTGCTTAAGGAGAACAGCCACTCATAAAGCTGTATGTGCTGCCCTGAACAGACACCCCTTGGTCTGCCCTAAGAATTACCAGTAAAATAACAGAGCAAAATGGAGTGAATGTATTTTGTAATACAACACCTTAGGGAAGTCAGTGAGGTGCCATGCATGGAACAGCAGAGGTTTTCCAGCTTGCAGATAAAAACATCACTCGGGTACCATGGGGCTTAATTAACCTCAAGCATTTAAATTCATTGCACTATACAAAAATTTGAGCCTCAGAAAAAGTACTGAAAAAAGTTAAGATAAATAAAGCAGCCAATTTTTATTAACGCACTAACCTGATTAAGCATCTCCCAGTAATAAAATATTCCAGTATTCTGAACCTATAGAGGACCTATAAAATGGAACAACTATTTGCAATGAAGTTTTTAGTTTAGAACTTTGTAATCAAAATATGTATAGGAAACCTTCCAAGGGAAACAAATTCCTACATGATACACCTGATGAAAGAGGAGGACAAGAGAAAACAAAGGCTGCAGTTCTCTCTGTACCAGCTCTTTACTATTGTGCTTTGCCTGGTCTGTGGCCAGATGTCCTTCTGCTGACATTTAAGACACAAAGGAAGAATGTGAAAGGCCTGGGAAAAAAGGAAGCAAGGCAGTAAAGTGTTTATCTTGCAAATCAGAAAGTCATTGGCAATAAAACAAGCTGCGCTGATAAAGCACTGGGACTAGGTAACACCAGCCTTTCTAGGATTTAACACAACTGAAAAATTAAAGATCAAATGAAGCCTTAAAACTTTCTCCTTCATCTGATACGAAAAATCAGATGTGCTACTGCTAGTGACAGCTGCAGCTTGTTGCTTGGTGTAGAACACAGAAAACAACCACACCAAACCAAACCAACCAACCAGAAGACCCCAGTAACACACTTTTCTCAGCAACTGCCTTTTAAGCTTTACCCTAGCTTAGGGAATGCCAGCAAACACACCTCCACCACATCTCAGCTGCAGCTCGTTTTTAGCCATGAAACACTGTGTGACCCCAGCCTGAGCTGCAGAAGGCTGCCCACACCCACTCAAAAGCTGTGGAGTTCATGGGAGGGTGACCAACCCTGGCATTTCTGCTGCTGCATGAGTTGAGGGGACTTCTTCCAAGCAATTTTAACTGTTACTTCCTAAGATACAGGAGTATAAGCCTTCTTCACTCCCCAAAGTTAACACTGGAAAAATAAGCTGCAGAAGTGTCAATGAATATTTGAACAGGTCCTCTTTTGAACATCATGTTTCAGATTTTCTAAATCTGTTTAAAAGAAAACCCCCCATTAAAAAAAAAATAAAAGGTACAAAAACCTAAAAGGAAATAAAAGAGAAGTATCTTCTTTGTTCTCTTAAAACTAAACTGATTGAAAGGATATGGGCGGTGCCTTTCAGTGTCCCACTCCATCACTATTTTCAGGGGGAAATCTAAATATTAAAAGAACCTTACTTAAAATCTGCTTTTGAGACTTGCAGATATTTTCTTCCCCAGACCTGCAGATTTTATTTATTTTTTAATCTCCATTATAGGGGGTTTTGCCCAGGTTTACTACAATGTAAGGAAGAGACAGGTAAGTATTTCCTCACAGTCCTAGCTTTTATTGTTGATAATAAAATGATGGCTACTTTAAAAAGTCAAATAAAAACAATATAAAAACATGGTCATGAGAGTATTATATACACACAAAACAGCGTAATACAATTGTACTCATGTCAGTTTTCTATTGTATCAAAGCATACTTTTGTACATAGCAAATAGATACTCTGCTTTCAACTTTATATTTACTATAAAAATATTAAATGATATTTTTAAAAAGCAATCCTCAAGTCCAGATGTAATCCCTGATATATGTTCACTGCACAGGAAACAACTTTTGGGAGCAGCTGTAAATGACACAAAAACCAATTTCTGATGCAAATTCTTATCCAGCAGGAGCAGACTGGCTTCCTAATCCCCAGGTTGCCTTTGAGCACAGGTGCGCTCCCTCATCTTGGTTTTTCTTGCTTTTTTCATTCCTGTGTCTTGTGCCAATACGTGCTTCAGGAAGTTTCACAGGCATTTCCTAAAACCTTCTGTCTTCAGCATATCTAACATATATATCAGATGCTCATTTGTATTGCTGCAGCAGCTTGAGTTTACAAACTTGGGAAAGATTTATTTGGTGAAAAGGCGTAATGTCACAGCAGCGCGTCCAGTTCAGAAACTCATTCCCAGGGCTTCATGTAGTGCTCACTGTGGCACAAATTAATAAGCATGTGGACCTTTTTATACAAATAGCACCGACGTGAAAGCACTTCAGAGTTCAACTGTACATCTGGAAAGAGGGGCTACTGTGATCTAATAGTGGTTCACTAAAAAACGTAGAAAAATACAGGACTTGAGTGCAGGTTCCTCTACATAATGTGCATTGACAATGCAAACCAGCCTTCTTCTTTTTGCTTTTCCATCTGCAAAAGAAGAAACCAGTTTAAATTCATATACCATAAATTTCCCACAGACTTGCCAGTTAATGCTGGCTTGTGCTGGATTGCTACGTATCAGTCAACTGATACACAGCAATTAAGTATTCCAAATTTTCCCCCGGAGATGTGTACTTTGCTGTCAGAATAGGAAGTCTTGAACCATTCTTCTCTATCAGTGCTAGTTTAGGTTCCTTTGGACATCAGGAAAGACAGTATTAGTAGCTCCTCATGGTTGCTTTCAAGCACATGAATAGATCTATGACTGGTTTACCAGACCGTACTACTGCCTGGAGCTGCCCATGAAAGCATCTTGCTGTAGTCTATTCTTCTCTTTGCACATCAGGAATGAGAAGCTTAGATTGCAGATTTTTCTTTGCATTTGGATTTATTTATCCTTCAGCAACTGACTTGTGTAGCAGCTGGGTAAGAGCTTGCTTGCCTCTTATAAGTGGCTCTACCAGTACATCATAACGATTACTTGAAATTCTCTGCAGCCACCGATGAAAGACTGCCAGGGGTTCCCAGTTCTAACACATGAAGATGTCACAGGCAGAAAATGTAGTTACAGGATTACTCACTTGTAAATAGCAGCTCTGTGGCTGCAAACAACTAGTGTCGCTAACGCTCAGGTCTTCCCTTACCAACTGTCATCTCTCCATACCACTTGTTCAGAATCCAAACTGCCATGAATCAGTTACTATTAGCCTTGGTAGATTTAAGGCAGGACAGAGCTATCTCCCCTTCTTTATCTGTTTTGCTTTTTCCTTTTATAACACAGCAATCAAACTTTCTGGCTGAAAATTTTTCAGTCTTACCTTTGGCCTTTGGCTGACAGAAGTTAATTTCACACTTTCTGATGTGGAACTTAGAGGTGAACAAGGTTTGCCAGAGTCACCTACAGACCTGTAGACATTCAAAATGAGATTGAAAACATGAAAAATGGAAGTGACTTCTAGAATGATGTCTCAGATCCTGAGCTAGGACCCCCCATCAATAGTCTTCAACAACCCATGTCATCTGTCCTACGTCACATTTGCAGGTATTTTAAATACAAACAGTGGAAGTTGTGAAAAAGCTATCAGGCCTTTGTCCCATTTCCATAGAGTTGAATGTGGTGAAGTCAAGGAAATTCAGTGAAGCCAAAGAAAAACATGGCAACTTTTCTACTGTGTTCAAGTTCTACTGCATGGATCAAGACACTACAAAAATTAAACTGTAAAGGGTTAACTTATACCTTCTTATACTGGTCATGCTGGCAGGGGAAACACTATCTTCTTTGGGGCTGTCCACAGCAACTGCCATGGGAATGGACACTTCAACTGTCCTCCTTGCATTTTCTAGGCAATAAATAATAGCTTGAATCTCATGAAAACACAGCAACATTGCACAACATTCATTTCATTTTCCCATTTTTTGAGGGGCATCACATAACTCCTCACAATTGCACAGAAGACACAGATCAGACATAAAAGATCAGACTAAACATCAACCCCCATACCCACTCTGAAAATTACAGATATTGAAAGCAGATACCAAGAGCAACTACGAACAACTTGCACAGATACAGAGTAAGTCTTCTATGGATGAACCTTTTGAGGTTTTTTTGGCAATCAGAGGCTTAGAGACTTCAGATTTCTCTATTTTGTTCCTTTAAGATGTTACTTTTCATGCTGGATTTACTTTACAACAGCCATAGCAGTGTTCAAAGTTACAATCCCACACGCACCCACAAGCATATGCACACAGATGTGGTCTTTCTTTCCCCTCCTTCCTCTCCCCCTCAAGTCCTTCCCTTTTTACATCCTCTGTGTTTTAGGAAGGGGAAAAAAGGGAGGTGTCCTCGACAGAGCAGGCGTACGTGCTCATGCACAGTTCTGCCTGTAACTACAATGACATCGTGAAGAGATAAAGCAGCCCTCACTTGCTGGAAAGTATTTTTGTCTATAGTTACACACGGCAGCTAATTATCAATCTTGAATCAGCAAGAGTATTCCCTTTGCTAATCTACCTCTTCAGATGACTGGAAGCCCCAGTTATTTCTATTAGCAGTGGCAGTACCTCAGCAAGATTGTCTGATGGAAAGAGCACTCAAAGAGCAAAAACTAAAAGGTGGTTGAGAATTAGATAACCACTCTGCAGTGATTTTTAGAAGCCAGATGTAAATACTTAGTATTTTCATAAGAGATTCTCCAGCAGACAGGACTGATTAAAAAGCCTAGCTCTGCCCATCTGTGACTATGTAGCAGAATTGTTCTGCAGCAAGGACATAGCAAAGAACAGATTTACCATGAAGCAGCAGAATAATTACTAAGAAATTAGGAGAAGTTTAGCAGATATATTTTCAGCTTTCTGAAGTGAAGAGTGTTTGTAACACACAGTATTTAACAGCAAGTGTACTGCTGACCGCAACTGCTGATCCAATCAGATTTCTCCTGAAGCTGTGTACTTACCAGTATAATTTAGGGATGGGGGCAGAACAGGAGATACCACTGGAGGGACCATATCAGCAGTAGCTAATTTCTGCTGGTCTATTAGCTGCAACAGTTTATCACGTGCTTCTGTACTCTGTCGATTCAGCTCTGCTATTCTTTCCTCCAAGCTCTTCGTTACGAGGAGATGAGTCTATTTGGATAATTGGGTAATGACTTCCAATTAGAAACTTACAGTATGCACCTTCAGGGAGGGCATGCAATATATTTCAAATACTTCTATGCATCTAATTTTCAGACTGAAAGTAAACAAAATTATATAGCACCTCCTGTGGAAAATCTGATTTTGTCCCTTTCACTGTCCTGTATCTAGGTTCTTAATTGACCAAACACAACAATACTTCAGACTGGTCTTCCTAAAAATAGGAAAAAACAGCTATTGTCTGTATCATTTAAAAAACAAAAACTAAACCAAAACAAAACAAAAAAAAACCCCAACCACCAGCAATTAACCATAAGAAAGAAAATATTTCATTAGAGATACACATATTCAGGATGGTATGGGGAAGCAAAAGCAGATTTCTAGCAGAAGTATCCTGGAACTCACCTTTAAACCAGGTTTTCATCCTCTCTGATCCCTTTCCCTCCCTCCTCCAGTAACTGCTTCCACTTAAAAAAGTTTGCATCACCTTGTACAACTAAGTGACTAAACATTACACGACATAATACAGTGTGGAAAGCGACAACACTCTCAGCCTACATTTACATGAGGAAATTTTAAATCTTCACGATCCTTAATCAAACAGTAATTCAGCCACCGCGATTGAACAGAAGACAGTAGCAAAGGCAGGGATTAGGCATTTTTTCCTGTGATGTTAAGTCCACTTACTGGGGTGCCACCGAGTAGCTGCTTAGTTGCAGACTACAGGTTTTCTATACAAACTGAAGCATTAAAGTTCTCTCTTCCTCAAAGATTTTGGGGTTTTCACCCCACAACAGGACAGACAAGACAGATCCAACTAGTACGTACACTATAATTAAATATTTGTTGGAGATGTACTTACACCAACTTTAATCTCATGGGATTTTGGGTCACAGTGGCAGAAGAGACGTATGGCATGGATTTAAATATGTATTTTACAAGTTTGTCAAGACACTGTGAGTTGGTGCTGTGCCTTCACTGTTAGTATTATTCAAGCTGCAAGAAGTATACCTGATCATGTCGCAATCACACCTTTCTTTGTAGCATAACCTTATCCTAAGCTTACAAATGTGCTGCACACATTTCAGCACTCATATACAGCATAGGCCCAATATAAGAAACCTCTGTTGAGCTCCTTAGGGAATGATAAAAATCAAAGTCTCCAAGCAAATGAATGAAAAGAATATTTGCTTTGCTACTCTTTTCCTGGAGTAGGACTGACAACAGGGAAGAAGCAGTCTTAAAGCATCAGCAAGTTACAGGAAAGCAGGATGGGGATTCAGGCTTCTTTTGCTGTTAAATTCTCACCTGTCCTTGTGAAGAGTCTGGAGTAGGATTTGCGTTTTGTATTGGGTCCAGCTGATGTGGGCAGTCACTCGTGTCTTCAGAGAAGCCTCTGAATTTGCTCAGTTGAGCTTTAATGAGAGAGTTCTGTCGAGTGAGCTCAGCTATCTGTCCCAGCAGGTCACCGTTCTGAAATAACTCTTCAGCTGTGCTTTTTTTTCTAGTGTCACCTGCGCAAGACAGACTGATTTTCTTGTGGGAACTCTCCAAGTCTTTGTCTGCAGGAGGAACTGGTTGCCTTTGAGAGATGAGACAGTTTTCCTCATTTGTGCTCTGTGTTCGCAAGGAGGAAGGTGAGCTCCTTTCTTTGCATCCTTCTCTTTCGCTGTTTTCAGGAGACTGAGGAATATCTGTAAATGCTAAAAACAAGAAAAAAAGGAGCAGTAAGGAAAGAGAAGTGGTCCTCATCAAGTGTACTACCAGTGACTTTATTGCATCAGACTAGTGATAATCAAACAAGAACTTGAATTGTAAACATCTAGCCTGAATGGTGTTGTGTTACTGATCAAAATCCCTCTACGGAAGATCCTGCTGCAAGAACTCACCAAGTTTAGTATTTCCTATTGCAAACAGTTTTACATTTATATGATTTAATTAGAAATTAAGAGAGAATTCAGAGAGAAGAAGATAAATTGGTTTTAATTTCTTAGCTGACAGATCACTACTCCTTAGTCCTTCATCTTCCAATATCCAGTTACCTTACCTAATAAACTGTAAGTTTGTGTTTTAACGCTGATATTTATACTGGGTTGGTAACAAAACTTTTAGAATAAAATAAAACAAAGCACTTTGGTATAATAATAAGCTAGCTATTTACTCAGCCCCTAAGGACGAGGAAGCACTCTGACCAACAGAAGTAGTTAGGTATTTTTTGTGGTCATCATTAGCAAAGAGGTAACACCACACATGACAATATGTTACAGCACTGTCAGCTGCTACAAGTTAAGCACATATTAGATTTTGAGACCAAAACCAGATTTCCTACACTTTATATACCAAATAGCCCATTTCTTCCCAAGCTTTAGCTTTTGCGTCTTGAGCAGAGTATGACATTTAAAAATGTACACATAAATCTGTTTTATATTTTTCCATAAAGAAACATTCAAGAAGTTTAACATTTGTTGAGCCATTTAGCATCCTTAACAGTCTTAAAAGAGTAACAATACATTTTTCACACAACTAAACTATAGCTAAGTCTAGGAATACAGTTTTAGATTCGTGTTTCAGATGACAGACAACATCTGACAGTTCTCAACGGGACTGAAGTCAGATGTTGTTCTTTACAGAAAACTATCTTCAGTTCACTTTCACCTGATTTATTATGTATTCCTTGCAGCATAGGTGACCACCAAAAGCTTGAACTAGATAGGATTTTGAATTGCCCTGACAACTCTTTAAATCAAAGGGAATTTTGGTTTAACTTTCTGACTTGGAAAAGACTTAGAAAGCAACACAGCTGAAAGGGGAGGGAAAGAAAAAGGAGGAAGGCAGCACAAAACCCCACTACTGTGCCGTTTCCTGTCAGCAACCATCAGGCTAGCCATAGATGCAATTATCTGCCTCCCAACAACAGAGGGTTACAGGGGCATAGCACATTCGTTAAGATGCACATGGTTGTTACAGCTACAGGAGGAAACAGTTAACTTTGAGAGTCACAGAGAGTCCTCCCTCCTGCTCACTTGATTAAGTTTAAATGAGAAATACTTGCCCTAATCACCCCTGACGAACTTTCTTCCTCCCAACAAGCAGAATTGAGCTACTGACCTATAAAACTCCTGAAGCCTATGGATACTGACACAAGACTGAGTTAATCTGGTTATCTGCACCATACTAATTTCACCCAAAACTTCCTCAGTCACTTCCTGTGTATTAAATGAGACCCAATGGAAACCTGCTCCCAAAGCTTTTAGAAAAACCTCTGCTGGGAAGATTGGCTGAAAGCAAGAGTATGCTGCCTACAGACACCCTGGTTTGTCTGCAGCACATGCTGCAGAAGCACTAAATTTCCAGTCTTCAGTGGTCTCACTATTAAAGGTGATGGAGGCTGGATTACAACATCAGCAGATGGAAATATGAGATGATGGGCCTTACATCATAGACAGGTAGCCACAGCAGATCATACAGAAGTGACAATCTAAACCAGTACAAGATAAAAATGCCACTCTGGACTGCCACTGACAGGACTGCAGACAGCAGATGGAGAACTGCAGGGGTCAGAAAGTAAGGGAAATCTATCAAGAGGCATAGAAAGAAAAGAAATGCATATCTGGGTGCAGAAGTAGGATATTCCAGCTATAGGAACAATGTGTCCAAACACACAGATTAAAAATTTTCCATCAAAAATGCATCTCCAAAGGTAGTGAGAGATGGAAACAGTAACACACTACACAGACTCTCAAGTCTACTACAGCCAGAGAGATCTCACCGTTCTGGAGGGGAGACAATTCCTGACTGTTCTTCTGCCGGGGGGGTGACAACAGAACCGCTGGCTGGAAGATGTGAGGTGGCAAACTTCTACCAGCTCCTGCACCACCTGAAGCACCTGACCTCTGGAGAAATTGGAAAGGAAGTTCTTCCTGTGGGAATTTCCGCATACCTTCCCTATTGCCTGCATCAGCTCTAGGCTCAAAATAGCTCAAATCAGGTTTTTCTAAAGAAAGAGACAAAGCAGAGATAGAATAAAAAAAAAAGGTAAAACAGTTTTAGTGCAATAAGAAACATTCTTACATTTAGGTATCTGAAAAGACAGACTAGAGTGTTTCCCACACACTGCTAACTTCCTTCTGATCCCCAGGTACAGAACTCTTTCACCAGAGTATAACAGAAGTTTTCACTGGCCTTAAGAGCAAGAAGAGCTCTTACAGGGAGCCCCCCAGTTTCACGATAGTAATAAGAGATCTTACAGACACATGACTTGCAAGGAATAGGTATTTCAGTGAGCTGCATTTGGTTAATATTCTCTTGAGAAAAGCAGACCTATGCGTTGTCCTAATAAACCTGTATGATAAATTTGATGGCAACAATAGTGGACTGGAAAACAATTCAAAGCTTTTTTGAGCTCTCTGATGATCTTTTCATGACTTAATTCAAATCAGACACCTCTTCAGTAAAAAAAAAAGTTATTCTTCTGTATTTAACTAGCTCTTCTGTATTAACAACTACCTTGTGTCTACATTGCTACCTGTTTTGAAGATACCAGGGAGGCACAAAATTAATAGCATGAAATCAAAGTTGTAGCTATCTGTGAGACCACAGTAATTTTAATATGCTCACAGCCACTGCTCCATCAGTGCCATCTCTGAATCCTCTCTTCACAATTTTGTTCAAAACATTTGTTCCCAGAAGAGAAGTTAGTGGAAAATTAAGCAGAACATACCTAATCCCAAAATGCAAGAGACAAAAAGCACCCTTCAAAGGCAATGAGACAGAAGAGGCTGTTTGCATACGATACTACTTGTGGTTCACGCTACTGATGTTCCAAGATTGAACTTAAAACCTGCCACCCACTATTCAATGACTGTGGCAAGAAATGAAAAACACCTTCCTGCGCTTTTTCATTGTACAGAGTACAAATTTCCAAAGTATTCTCCCTCACATATTGTCACTATGATATGCTTCCCACACCCCTCTCAGCCACTCTCGTCTCTCCAGAGAAGTCTTATGTTAACTTACACGTGGTTTTTGTGCTAAAATTAGCTATCTCAAACGTTTCACATCCAGTACCTTAAGGGTACAAGGGATCTTCTGACAGACAAAGAGGAAGAAATATTTTTGTAACTTTATGAACCTTTCCTCTCAAAAGGATGCCTCTTCCTGAGAAAAGAGACCAATAAGGAAAAAAAAATGGAAACTCTAGATCCCAACTGTTGTATAGGAAGGTTTGGAGGTTGGTAATTTTATTTGTTTGTTCATTCGGTTGAGGTTTTTTGTGGTGTTTTTTTGTTTGTTTGTTTTGGGTTTGTTGTTTTTGGTGGGTTTTTTTGAGGGGTGCTTTTCTGATTGGGTTTTATATTTTGGGGTAGGATTTTCTGTTTGCTTTTACAAAACCTGGGCAAATCACAAAAAAGGGATCTGGTATGTGGCTTCTTCCTGCCAACTCCACAGAAAGAGTCAGGAAGAAACTTTTTGACCACAAAAAGGTCCACAAAACCAACACTTAACAAAGGAATACAAATAAGCTCCAAGGAATCTTGCGATTCACAAGGAGTTACTGACCTTGAAAGCAAAAATTATGCACTTAAGTAACCAGCTGGTAAAGAAAGTTGGGAGAAAACTCCAAGATGAAAAAAGTCTAAGTAGTACAAAGTGAATCATAGAATGAGAAAATGGTTTAGATTGGAAGGGACCTTAACACTCATCCAGTCCAACCCCTCTGCCATGGGCAGGGACACCTCCCACCAGACCAGGTTGCTCAAAGCCCTGTCCAACCTAACCTTGGACACCTCCAGGGAGGGGGCATCCACCACTTCCCTGGGCAACCTGTGCCAGTGTCTCACCACCCTCACAGTAAATAATTTCCTCCTAATATCTAGTCTAAATCTACCCTCACCCAGTTTAAAACCATTCCCCCTTGTTCTATCACTACCTGCCCTTGTAAGAAGTCCCTCCCCAGCTTTCCTGTAGGACCCCTTCAGGAACTGGAAGGCTGCAATAAGGTCCCCCTGGAGCCTTCTCTTCTCCAGGTTGAACAGCCCCAACTCTGTCAGTTTGGCCATCAATGCTACTGGCTTAACTTAGCCTGTGCCTATCTTATATATCCCTCAACTGGCCATTCACCTCTGATACTGCATCACAAACATCAAGAAACAGATTTCTGCCTGGTTAGTTAGCAGGCCTCAGCAGCTGTCCTCTGGTCAGCAGCAACCTCCAGTGCCTTATGGAAGAACCAGTCTCATGTTGTAAGGCTGCCTGAGCAACAGAAAGGTCGGATCCTGATTCAGTTGGGTTTTTGGTTCTATTATTTGAACCCTCAGAAAAAACCTGACTTTTTCAGGCATGTTAATGGGTGAAGGCTACTCCATTCCCCACCCCCTTTTTAAAAAATACAATATGATATGTATCACTTGAAGCTCAAACTCAGGGACTTGGCTAAAAGGTTAATCTTGAAGTCCTGATCTAGACAGAAGGATGCCAGTAAGGATGGAATACAATTTATAATATTTTTAAAAAAATAATCTTTATCAAACTGCTTGTGCTCACAGTAAAGCTCATGGCATATGGATTTCCAGAAGTGAGATTCATGCTCATGCAAGAGGTATTTATTCAAGTAGACATCTATTAAATGCCAAATTTTCCATTACAGGGATAAACTAGTCACAACTCCCATTTCGTCCTTCACATGTGCATGCACACACCTTGGCCATTCACTGGATTTTTGCTTGCAATTCCAAACTGGTTTGGACTTTGTTCTCTTCTAGGTTCTACCAAAGGGAGGCCTTTAAATGCTTGTGTGAGAGAGGTCAGCTGTTCATCTGTTACCGTCATGTATTGCTGAAGCTTCTTCTACAGGATTAAGGAAAAGCAAAAGAGAGATACAGAAATCCGTATTGTAGCAACAGGAACTAGATTATATACCACAGGCAGCTCTGAGAAGAAAACTGGTCTCTTAATACCACTGCATTGTGGGATTCCAGTGAGGTATTATATACTGGTGTCTCCATGTTTCTCATTTATTTTCTCTCCTGCCTCAAAAAAATTCTTTGTTTTTCCCTTTTCCTAACTCATCACCTCACTTCCTTTCCAATGCAGCTTTATTGCTTCATTCACAACTGCAACCACTGCACAAATCTACCTCCACTGCAAACTGGAAAAAAACCCCAACATAGTATTATATCTCGTCTACTCTTATTGCTCCAGTAGTGCTAACAGTATGGAAGCATAGATATAGGTGCTTAAACATTTAGGTTGATGAAGGAAAGCTCAGTCTAATGGAACCAGCATCTTCTCAGGCTTTAAAGTTAAATATCATATAGGAAGTTAAAATGTTGACTTCCCAAACATTCTTCCCCCCTACCATGCCTACTGTGACCATTTTCAGACTCCTCATTCAATTTTCTAGTTTTCTTACTGTTTATAGTTAAAATCTCCTGAACATATAACAATGCATCTCAGCACACATTTGCAACACCACTCAGTGTTGTAACGAGCTATTCTGAGTGGGATAGGGGCTCAGTACCTGCATAGCAGTGTTTTCTTCCCTCACTAGAAGTATTTCTGCAGTCAGAGCATCAATGAGTTCTCTATGTTCGTTCAACATCTCCTCATGCTGCTGTCTGATCACTTCTTTCTCATGCAGCTGCACTTCACTCTAAAGAGGAGAAAAAGTTAAAAACCTACTATGACCAACACAGACTTATATTTGGAAGCATCATGGTGTAACAGCTCTTCCCCATTTTTGCCAAATTGACTTCACTACTTTAATGAGAAAATCCAGTTTTCAGGGCTTGAGAAATGCCAGAGAGCTTACAGTTCGTTCTCTGTTACTCCAGAACACTATAGGGAAACCTATACATCCTTGTTCTTCTGCCTATACAACTTTTACAGGCTGTAACTACAAGCATCATTTCTCTGCATGGGTACTGTTTTGTAAATCACTGAATCTTCATGCAGTAATCAAATAACTCCAAGTATGCTGATGCCTGTCAGCATCCTGGGCCATTCATGCCTATTCTTTAGTTTCCTTAATTTAGTGAAGAAGATAAATTTGCCTAAATAAGGAGAAAGTAGTTGCTTTCTAATGTTTTCCCTCAGAGAAAGAAAAAGTTCTAGAGGGTTTAATTAATTCTCTCTTTTTTTTTCCTTAAGAAAAAAGGGTTTATTAGAAAAGTGATGTACTTCAGTATGAGGCAAAAGACCTTACTGTAGAACCTTGGCCACCAAAAGCTACTATCCACCTGTTATTTTAAGATAGACTTGTGCAGTAGCCAGACTTCCTGCATGAGACACCAAAGAGTCCCTTCCACCTCTAATGCGTAAATGGAATGCACCACTGCCACTTTTTGGACCATCACAGCTAGAACAGCAGAGCCTACAAAGTCACATAAACACATCAGAATTAGCAGATGGAGCCCTTCCTCAGATGGTTGCCTGCATTTTCTCAAAGGAACCCCTGAAAAAGCGAAATACATCACACCTCTAAAACACAGGAGATCCTGAAAAGCAATTAGGGTACTCTTTTCTGCTGCCCAGACTCAAAGAAAATTGGGGATTTAGGTCCACTGCTCATGTGACAATAGCATCACCTTTGGGAGGCAAAGGAAGAAAATGCATTTTTTAACAGGGCTGTAGTTAATACACTGCTACAACTCTGAATATCTTTAAATAAATTTAAAACCATTTCAATTGGTATTTTCTACTAATAGTCACTGAGAGACTTTTTCTGAAGTCAACCCCTCCCTTTTCATTAGGGATACCTGCTCCTAGCAAACTAAAACTTTTAATTCCTGACTGCATGCAATACAAATAAGCAGTGATAATCAGACTTCAAAGTAAACTGATTGGGAGCCAGGAAAGACCAAATTTATGCCTATAAAGTAACTTTATACTCTTTTACATTCACTCTACAGAAGCAATTCAAAATCTTGTCACCTCTTTGAGGTAGCGCATCAAACGACAGAGCACGTTCACCAGTGACATGGTAAACCCAGTGACGCCTTCACTTCTCTCCGTTTTTTGAGCCTCACGACCTGTACATCGCTCATACTCCTCCAATTCATGCTCCATTTCATGTATCATGCTGTTGAGGACATCTAGGCTGGATTTGTTGTCCCTCCGAAAGTCAATGTGGATTGAATTAGCTGGAGAATCCTCTCTCCTCTGCCTTGCAGAGTTCTGTGCAGTTTGTTTTCTTTTCACTGAAGGGAAGGAAAAAGTGTAATTGGAATTTCGACTTGTATGTAAAGCTTTGCAAAACTAATGAAATTACATCGTTCTTTGAAGTAAATCAAAGGAGAGGCCCTCTCTTGCCCTGAGCTGACATAGACCATCAAAGAACACCCCCAGTCATTCCAGGTATTTTCAAATAATCAAAACCCACATTTTCTGCTACCACATTAGTACCTCAAGTATGATTGCTTGGTGCTTTTATCTTAGATGCATGTTTTACTTTCCTCCTTCTCAGTTAAAAGCATGGAAACAGTTTGCCAGTGAACAGCCAGTGAAAAATATCAGCTGCTTTCAGGTCCCATATTTAGTGAGCAACTCTTTCACAACAATCCTTTCATGTTACTGTTTGTATCTGATGTCAGTCCCTACATACAACTGTGTGTAGAATACAGGGACTGAAATGCACCATAGAACAGAAAACTATCAGAAATAGAAAAGCCCTGCACAAGAGAGAACTTCATGGCTAGCAAGGTAATGGGTAGCATAAAAAATGCCATATTTATGGTTCCCAGATTCCTATGGATTTTGCACTCTAGATACACTCCACAAGGGGCTGCGTAATGTTCAGCCTTAGAGGCGCTCAAGACTTGGCTGGAAGAGGCCCCTCCGCCCCCCCAGTCAAACTTTGGAGTTGGCCCTGTGATGACTTCCCAAGATTCCTTTCAACCTACGTTTTCTTATGGTATTAACTGCCTAAGTCAAAAAGACGTATGTTATTTTTAAGAGTACTAAACTTTTTGCTGCAATTTGCTTTTCTTTCCTTGAGTTAGGGTTCAGCACTTGTCTCACAGTATAAGTGGAGTCTAAAGTCTGTTGTTCATCTTCATTCTGAAGTCTTGAATGGATTCTCTTGACTACATTGGTAGCATTGAGGGCTGATTTAAACACAAAACAAAACAAAAGAACAGACATGAAATATTTCAGGTATGTTCTTAATAGTAATATGTTATAGTTATTTTATTAGAAATGCTGACTTTTTAGTCTGGAAATTAATGAGCCAAATTAGCATGTCTCTGTCTCTCACTCCCACCTAGAAAAGCAATTCCAGACAGGATCCTGTGAGCAGCCTAACAACCCTAGGGAGGCTGTGATTTGGCAAATCCAACCTGACTGATCCAGTGATGGAGAAGCAGTTGTTGGAGTCAAAGGCACATTTGATTCCTGTGACAAGGTAGATTTTCTCATATCCTTTTCAGCCCACAACTGAGAATTCACCAAGGAATTTTCTTCTTTCAATAACTGAAGTAGCCTACATTCAAAACAAGCATAACAGTGAATTACAATAGGATATTAGCATGATTCTAAACTATCTGTAAAGTCTAAAGAGCTTTTAAAAATATCTGTAACTGCTCAGGTGAGCTCCCTGCTTGCATTCATTCCCAGTCCGAATGTTACAAGGGGTTTCCCTAGAATTCTGAGGTCATGAAGGGGTGGGGGGCAAATAGAAAAAAATAACAACTATTCCCATGCAACACCCTTTTAACTCCCTCTATTTCCAGTGTTAAGAAGGTGGAAATCTGACTGGATATATTTGTACTGACCTGTCAGAATTGATGCTGGACTTAAAATTCAGAGAGTCATGGTGATCATCTTCTGATTGACAGATTGATAATGCTTCCTCTTCCACTTCATTAAGAGCCTTTTTAGGAGACAACAAAGAAAACAAAAGGGACTTCAGAGCAATTTCAATTCATCTTTAGGAAGATGCTAGAGATTGATTTTCTGAAACAGTTTAAAGAAACAAAAAATACAAAAAGTTTGTTTTAGTCTCTACCACCAAAACAAAATTAAAAACAAAAAAAAAATCAAAAAACCACAAAGCTCTGTGCAAAGAATTTTGGGGGATTTTAATACCTAAGAAATACTGATACCAACAATTGTCTCCAAAACTAACACAACAAGTAATTAATTGAATATCCAGTATTTTATCTGGATGATCTGCATTAAGACAGACCACACATACTGCAGGATTAACAAAAAAAAAAAAAAAAGCTCTAAAGACTGTACCAAAACAAACACAGAGACATACCAGGCAGAAGGTAAACAAGGCAACCAAAATTAGAGCATTTCTAAAGTTTCAGCTGTTTGACACTACAAACTAAACAACCTTGTAATGAGATCTCCAAAATCACATTTATATTTTATATGTAAAATGCAACCACAACAATCCTATGTAACATACAAAATACAATCCTATGTAGCATACATGCTATGAAGAAAAACTTAAGCAATCAAATTTGGAATTAGGGCTCCTCAAGCTATCAGGTTTCTGTACTTCTGGGTAGGTTTCACCACATAGCCTTTAACTATGATTTTCATAGCCACACAAGGAAAAGAAAAATCTCACAGAAGCTAAGCAGACAACTATCAGTATGCTTTTCTTTTAAAAAATTAAGCCTATCCTGCAGCATGCATCCAGTGATACAACTTGCAAAGATGCTACAGTTAACTCTTCATATTAAAAAAACCAAATTCCACATCGAAATACACGACAGAGTAGTACTGCAACTCAAATTGCAGATATTTGTGCAAGACAGTAGGAAACAGGATTAGAGAACTCTGAGAATATGACACCATCACTTTTGCTCCCACAGCCTTTCTGGTCTTCACCAATGAGCAGCTTTCCAGCAGTGTCCCACACCTGTTTGCAAACCTCAATGAGTATTCCTGGTACAATCCAAGTTATGAAAAGAAAACAGAACAATGAAATTTTAAACAAGTTTAAACAATTTTTAAACAAATCTAAAGACTTGTAAAAGAATCTGAAGCATTAAATAGTTAAAATTATAGGACTAATCAAAGTTGTGGAGATAACTGGGGTACATTTACATGTGTTTTAGCTGAAATAAATTGGTGCCCAAGTGGCTATGACCCCATATATGGAGATATAATTGGAAAATCAGAGGCGTATTTCAATGTGCAGCAATCAGTTAAGTGACACAAGAGTTGTTTTCTTAGCCTGCAATTACTTTGTTCTCTTGCTGATAATTTCAGAATTATAGAGAGAGCATACAAATATGAGAAAGCTTCTATGAAATAAAAGATGTTTGTTTCTCCTGTTGAAAGATTAAGAAATCAAAAAATCACGATTCCCAGAGTCTCACAAAACAAACTCACCTCCATTTAACACCATTTTCTAAATATGTTATCAACATGGTATACAATACTCAAAAGAACAGGTTTAGGTCTGCTTGGAAACTCTACCTTTGAATATTGATATTTTGTGCAAACAAAAAAAGCCACAGGACATGCATGGAACAGAACATACATTACCTGGGAATCCATGACATATTCACCAGAGATGGAAAGCCGAGTGGAAGGATCACATTTTTGTACAATGGGTCCTTGAGATGACTCTAGGTCACAGTCAGGAGCCATAGTTACATTAGGGAAACCTAGAGAAATCAGACAAAACAGGAAAGAACAGAGGACTCGGTCTGTAGTGTGTCACAGGGCTTTGGACCAAAAAAGCAAGTTCCCATACTTTGCACAAGAAGAGTCATAGGGATTTCCATCACTTTAAACAACCGCCAAGGCCAATCATAGAGTTATCTTAACACACTTGGCTATGTACCAGGCCATTGTCTTTCTCACCTGTATAAATACACTTGTGCAGAACCAGCATGTAGGATGAAACAATCATTGTAAGCTAAAGAGGATGGCAGCTTACAGAGAAAAGTATCTAAATTTAAGACTTCTCATGCAAACAGCCAGCTGCCTTCCAGCAGCCTAAGGACCCACAAACCAGGACAAGAAAAGCAAAAGCCTTGTTCACAAATTGCTGATAAATCTTCAACAATATCCAAGAGCAAGCAGTCAACCCATGTAGCAATGGGAATCAGAATTACTACAGTGGCTCCAACTGGTGCCGTGTATAGGCCGGTAGCTTGGCTGTGGAAATGGTGAGCGTGAGATGTTTCACAGGGATCCAAAATTCCACAATGGACCAATACAGTAGAAAATCGGCCATGGGTCACTCCCTCCTGCCATGTGAGGTGTTATCCTCATCTGTATATCATCCATCATGAACAGGATCAATTGTACTATGTTAGACGATGAGATGAAAGCAGTTTAAAAAATACTTTGCAAAGCAAAACTATCTATGAAAAGCAAGGAGATAACCTTAAATGTACTACCACATATAAATGAGATGGTCTACCTGTTCGTGTGCGAGGAGCATCCCCGAACAAGTCTTTTGCCACAGCCAAAACCTGATCAGATCGTCCCAATATATCTTGCAAATGGTATTGATCAGACAGAATCTGAAAGTATAGTGTATAAAGAAATATTTCATACTGAACAGACCAATTTTTGCTTTGGGTTTTTTTTTGTAATGTTCTTCTGTACTGATAGCAAGAAGACAGCCAACAAGACAGTGTTTGCAAAGTTGTTACTTAGTTAAGAAGGATCAGAAAAACCATACTTCATTCTGAGTGACTAGAACTCACCTTGTTTTTCTGAAAAATTAAATAGTTATTACTTCTGGAGCCCCCATCAGTGCTGATTCTCTCTCTTTAGAACAAATTCTCTCCCTCCCTTCCTCTCCTTCCAGCCTGACACAAATGAGAAGCTGGGTGTTTATGACACACTCATCAAAACAAGGACATGTATATGGCAATTAAAAAAATCAGTATGCATCCTCAAATCTTTTAATCTCAATGTTGTCGATTCAAAGAACACTTATCTACATCTGACATACACCCAAAGCCTGCAGTATTTGCTTAGATCCAAACCAACTCAGGCAGACTTGTTTCATTCAGCCTTGACTACTGAAAATCCTGCCTAAAAATTAAGCCATCTTCTGCCACAAAAGTTTCAACAGACATAAACACAGCTGACTATACCTGGCACCAGAAGATGTTTAGGGCATCTCCACACACTTCTCACAAGGCACAGCTTCTGTATTCAAGGTCTCTCTCCCCCAGTACTTGTAGCTCATCACTGCCACCATGATTGCTGCCTCCTAAGGAGAGGAGTCTTGGAGTGCAAAGCAAGAGGCACGCAGCTACTGTGAGCTGAATGGAGCGGGCTGGGGACGTGGCTCAACACTATTCAAAACTCCTCACGGACTCATGGTTTCACTCAAAGTTGGAAATGGCAAACTAGAAAAACTGTATCCCTCAACCTAGGAAGAAGGTGGTTATTCTTAAACACCCGAGAGGGGACCAGATACCTAAGTAGCCTCCATTTAATTGTTAATCAAATTTAGGCAGAGAGACTCCAGGTAGTTCAAAAGATCCCACAGAAAAGACAGACTCACGTATGCCCTCCTACACAAAATTTAAGAAGTGAGTGACAATTTCTGCTCCCCCAGGAATCATAAGAGGGACTGGTTTGCAGCAGTTTCAGAGCACAGCAATACACGCTGTTATCTCCACAGACTTTCTTTCAGTGTCCATTGATAACTTTGCTGGCTTATATTCAGCCTCATTCAAAAAAATCTAGGCAGTGCCATTTCACCTGGTTTGCTTCCCCTCCTATTTTACTATTCTGTGTCATGTCATAAGTTTCCCCATATACCTACTTTCCATTTCTTTCTAGTCTTTTGGGCCTGAATTACACTGCATGATAGTACACTTCTCCTCATAACCAATTGAGCAAATCAGTGAATATTCCTCTTTCAATCATTTCACATACTTACTTTTCCAAATCACTATTCAGTTTTCACATCAGATACTAACTAAGTCTAGTCTTTCCATTTAGCCATTTGATGTCAAAACACCGGTTTTTAAACAAAATTATGCCAAATCTGCAGAAGGAAAAAAAAAAGTTTACCTGTTCCAAAACATGATTCTGTTCCCTAAGGCAACTAAAGCTAAGATGACTTGTTTAATCAGACAAAAATGATCCTGATTAATTTGTTTTCACTATTAGATCTCTTTCAGCATGAGCAGGCTCCTAAGCTTCACCCTCCTGCTGAGGACATTATGAACATTTTTAGAGCATTGTTCCCGAGGTAGATTAGCTCACATGTGCTTGTCATCAGCAGAAAACAAAGTGGTAGCAGCTTCTAACCCCTCTAGGCCCACTTACAAGCCCTTGACAAATTCACCGAGTGTTGTAACTCATCTCAGCTTAGTATAACTTACGAACTTCATTAAAATTAATTTTCCCTCCTCTTTCAGGCTGTTAATACAGATACTAAATAGCACTAATGCCATAACCTTCTCACTATGAAAATCCATTCACCACCCACCCTTCAGTGCAATACACTAACATTATTTTAAAAGTAAGTTGCTATAGGACCAGTATGGTGCCTACATATTCACAGTTGTGTTAGAGACAAACTAATTTAATAATTCAATCAGACTTTTAGGCAGAAAAATCGCCAAAATATTAAAATTTTGCTTATCCATTTCATAAGTTCTCTTCTCTTCAACCAACAAGAAAAAATACACTAATAGCAGCAACTTCCTAGTTTTTATCTCTGAGTCTTTTGCAGTTGAATAGGATTCAAGGGGTTTAGGAAGCTACAGTCACACAGGAAAGGTAAAAAGATCATCAAGATAAGAGACAAGAAGACAGTCCACAGCAGTTGTCCTCTACTGGGAGACACAAACTGAAGAGTCTCCCCAGTTACCCTGAACAACAGGACCTAGCAATTAACAAGATTTAAGCTAAGCACAAGCAAAAATGGCGACTCTCCTCCATTTATTTTTTCCTTTACACACAAGAAGGTGCCAGTATTTCAAACAGCAACAGCCAAATGGGTTTCATCTTGCCTGGCATCATCTCCTTTTGTCTTCCCACCTTTTCTCTGATTCAGAAGTGGGCACAGAATATGCTGAACAAAGCAACCTCTTAAATATGAAGGGGAAAGCTACTCGGGAGGAATTAAAATTTGTGCATTGTCATTACAAACAGCAACAAATACAGAAGATTATTTCCTAACCATGAGTTTCAAATCTTTGAAATAACAAAGTCACGCAATAGGTAGTCAAGCCCAATCTTGGAGCAGGTGGTCTAATACAATACACCTTTGTGATATATAATTTATTTTTGCATGGGAGTCTTAGTCTGATATTACATTAGGGACATTTGTATAAAATGCCACAGCTTTTCTCAACTGTCCACTAAAATGGACTTGGCAGAAAAGTATAAAAGTAACAAAGGTCAAAATCAAAGTCTGAGGCTTGATTAGCACAATAGCCCTAACACAAAAATTCCACTGTGATTTCAGAGAAATACGAGCCAAATAGGAACCTTCAATAGGAATCTTCAATTCCAACTACTTTCATTTGTTTCTATCTATGCTTGAATGTTCTCAGAGATCACAGAAAGATGACTGAAAATTTACAAAAGACAGCAAAAGAGGTCTGTGATGGTTAATCCATTGCACATTTCCATGACTACGAAATTGTGCCTATTTTAACTGCTAGGTTAACACTGTTCATCACCATTCTTTACCAAAAAGAACAATTCTCAGTTTGTCCAAGTGATGATAAGGTCTGAAAGCTAACAACCAGGTTTTGTGAGTAGTTCTCATAACATATGGCAAGGAGTCACTTGCAAAGTGAAACAGAAGGATATTTACCACTGAGATCGCTTTTCAGAGAGTGACAGCTATTGTCTCTGTTAGTTAAGCTTAGGTTTGCTGCTACAGTGGAAATTTCAAAACCAAATTAAACAATACTAGTATTTTCAGTCAGAGTGCTTGAGAATGCCTAAAGAACAAACTTTTTGATCACCAGATGACAAGCTTGTCTGCTGGCAGCCATAGCTCCTCAATCCTTGTTGTGTCAATTTTCCTTCTAGACAAGCTCTTCCTTACCAATTTCTTGCCTCATCCTTTCTGCCCCTATGACTCTGCATTTTCTCTGTTTAAATAAGCAATGGCAGATAAGGGTGTCTCTCCCAGAAAGAGAAATGTTCACATTTCCATCAAAGAAAAATACTAAGCAGGGGGAAGAAAAGGCAAGATAGCAGTAAGAACATAAAGAACATGCACCCTTTTCACAACACACAGTTTAACTCTGCAAACAGTTCCTGTTCAGACGCAAAGAGGCCTACAGAATTACAGAGGGCATAGCCAGGCAACAAGAATCAAATACAAAACTGTATAGATCAGTTAATATGTTATACTGCTTATTTCAATCATTGCATGCACACAGCACATAGAGGAGGGAGAGTGTACGCATATATGAAGTCAAATTATCCAATAAAAGGAGAAAATGTTGACCTGTGTGCAAGAGCACAGGCTGAAAGTACAGATTTAGCTCTCACCTCACGCATCAGAGTCAATTTTCTTTTCTCCAAGGAATCACCAGCCAGTTGGTTTTGCTTCTTCCATTTTCTTTTCAGTGCTTTCTCTTGCAGTTCCAGCTGTGCCAGTGCTTTGTTTTTTGATTTGTGCATTTCATGGCGACGCAGCTATGGAAACACAAAAGAAACCATTTCAAAATCAAGGGACAATCTAAATTTGCAGGGTAATGCTAACAAGCTCTTCTTTATCATTCGTGTGCTGAATACTATTAAAGTTAACTTCATGGTAGTACCAATGACAGTCTTACAAACATCCAGAGGTATAAAATGCCATCAGTCAATACCAGCCAAATTTAAAGCAGCTCCAAAGGTGAATGGGGAAAGTCTCTCAATTTTCATCTGCCATACACCACTGACTCAGCTGTAAAGGAAGAAAAAACCCAAACTCTACCATCTATAACATACATAAAAAGACATAATGCATTTTCCTGATTTAACACTAATGTCAACCACCAGATATATTCTCTTTCTTCTTCTAACGCTCTTTATACATATTCAGTTTAAATACAAATTAAACAAATTAAATGTGAAAGGTACTTGCTAGAGTGCCTGTAAGCTATCAAGCCAACCAATTATAGAATTAAGTCTTTCTCTGCTATTGTGCCCACCTGTCCTGACAAACCCATCAAAATTTATAAGTAACGACAGCTCATAATGCCTATTCCATCCTGGTAATCAGTGCCGCCACGGAAAATGAAATGAAAGTCACGTATTTTGTAATGAATGTGAGTATATGAGTATAATGACATTATGTTAAATTGTTAAAATGAAAACTGAGTACCCTCAGAATTAGAGATTCCTAAAATAAAGCATGTCTTTTAGTCTTTCCAGCAGAAATGAGAGTTAACTTGAACTACTCCAGTTTTTATGTATTTATGTTTTAATGCTCTTATGATGGTATGCAGCTTATTAAAATAAGGACTATGGTTACTGCTTCCCAATGGAAACAGAAAACTGAAGAACACCAACTGCCAGAGCTGGGAATGCACGATATCATAAACAAAGAACTAATATTAAAGGACCAATATTTTCAGAAGCTTCTTTTAAAAGAGAGATTAAACATTGGCAGAAGATATCCTCATAAGTATGGTCAACACTTATGGTAGAAAACCAGCTTAATCTGTCTGCTGCAGAGAAGGACTGGTGATTGCCATTAAACTTACAATATCCTCAGGAGTTGCACGGTGGACTGTCAAGTCATGGACGGTACTCTGCAAACAGGAACCAGAGAACATATCAAAAGCCAGAACTGAGGAAGAATTGGATTTTTTTTCCCAGCATCGTTAAAAAAACCCTAAACTCTAAATTACAATATAATGAGCATAAAACTATACAACGATGCATTTTTACGGCACTGTAGAGTATTCCACTCCTCAGCCTAAAGAGCAGGCTGCCAGCTGTGAGGCCTAACCTCCAGTAGCACCAAGGAAGTGAGAAGGGGTCATGTCCGCGCCACCCACTCGCAACTCCCCGTCACGCTACCCCCTCCCCGCCCAAATCCCCACACAAACTGAGTATCTCCAAACGTGAACCCCCACAGAAGACGGCAATCTCCTGAGGTTCCCCCACAGCCGGCATGCCCGTGGGCACGGAGGCCCCCCGGCCCTTCCCCAGCCAGTAAAGGGCCACAACACGACCTGTGTGTTACCCAGCAGAAGCGGCTTCGCTGCCGGAGGAGAAGTGGGCGGGAAGAGCCGCCGAGGCCGGAGCAGGCCCGGCGCCCGGCTCAGCACCAAGGAAGGGGAAGCACTTACGTCCCAGTCCCGCTTAGCCGCCGCCGACTTCCTGGGGCCTTTCCTACCGGCGCCGCGGGGCCGCGACCCCCGCAACAGCGACATGGCCGGGCCCGCCGC